TCACCAGCAGATACAAGGTTACAGCCAACCTCGGGTTCTGATAGTCCACCATTAGATTCAAAGTTACAGCCAACCTCGGGAACTGATAGTTCACCAGTAGATACAAGGTTACAGCCAACCTCGGGTACTGATAGTCTACCAGTAGATACAAGGTTACAGCCAACCTCGGGTACTAATAATCCACCAGTAAATACAAGGTTACAGCCAACCTCGGGTACTGATAGTTCACCAGTAGATACAAGGTTACAGCCAACCTCGGGTACTGATAGTCTACCAGTAGATACAAGGTTACAGCCAACCTCGGGTACTAATAATCCACCAGTAAATACAAGGTTACAGCCAACCTCGGGTACTGATAGTCCACCAGTAGATACAAGGTTACAGTCAACCTCGGGTACTGATACTCCACCAGTAGATACAAGTGTACGGTCAACCTCGGGTACTGATAGTCCACCAGTAGATACAAAGTTACAGTCAACCTCGGGTACTGATAGTCCACCAGTAGATACAAGTTTACGGTCAACTTCGGGTTCTGATAGTCTACCAGTAGAATCAAGGTGACAGCGAACCTCAGGGACTGATACTCCACCAGCAGTGTCAACCACGTTGTTACTTAAAATAATCACTGGAATGATTAAATCGGTAGTGTATAATACAGACCAATGCAGAGATATATGTGGACTTTCAAAATTTAGACACGTGCACTGATTCTAAAGTTAACGGTTTTGTATTTTGAATGTGAAAATAAATTTGTTTAATTCTTTCCTTTTCAGATCAAAGCATTTTGTACGAGATTGTGCTATGAAGTTAAGCGCCTGAAATAACTCGTTCCTGAGGTCATAAGTTATTGTTAATCTTTCTTGAGTAGTGGCACAGCTCATAATATACACACTTTACTCGTAATATGAAATTTGAAATTGATCAGTACTTCAATATTTATATTTTGATATTCATATAATTAAAGTTTGTATGCACCTCCTCCTGTTTCAACACTGATTTGGATCAATTTGAATTTCTTACATTTTTGCCCCCTAGCATCACCAATTGGTCCTAGAAGGACGAAACAGATGTATGGTGCAGTGTAATTAATTTTTGGCATGCTGCACCTATTACACACATTTCAAAGTTGCAATCACCTATGTTTTTTCATCCTTCATAATCTCCTGAATAGAATTCTCCTAGAATATTAGGAGGCACGGTAGTCTTGTGGTAGTACGCCGGGCTCGCGACCGAAGGGTTGCGGGTTTGAGTCACGTCACGTCACTGTATTGTATTTTTGAGCAAGATACGTTACTCCGCTTGTTCCAGTCTACTCAGCTGTACATTAGTATGTGGTTGGGCATTGCTAGAATTTTTGAATGCTACCTGTGAGCGCCTAAATGGCAGCACCGGCTGTATGCTCCCCAGGGAGTTGAGAAGGATGCTGGCTGGTTGCAAAGGCCCTATAACCACGGATAATAATTTGTGAACCGCTTTGAGACGACCTACAAACTAGGTTGTGATACAGTGTAAGAACCTCGAATTATCGTTATTATTATTATTGATATAACATGCTAATCGTTGGCGCCAGGCGTCTTTGTCGTGGCGCCTTGACAGGGAATTAGTCGGCTAATGCTATAGATGAATACAAATCAAACAAAACACACGTGCTTACAGATCAGGAGTTTACATGTTGCAATGCTTGTACCTCAATGTACGAAGGAACAGCATTTAACTTCATGCCAGCACTGATGATATGGACAAACTTTGCATTACCTTTACCTTGATAGCAGCCGTTCACCTAACGGAGCTTCAAAACACATATCTTTAGATCTGATTTGTGAAGATCCATGCAACACATTTTTTTTTTTTTTTTTTTTCAAACGACCAATTTTCAATAAAATATTCAATGCTGAAATTTTCATACCAACACCAGTTGCGCCTTTACGTTGTGAGCAGGATAATACGCTTATATAGCTTACGGTTATATTGTTATTTGGGGGAATGGATTGACAGAAGATTTAATACCGGTAAACACGGCCACACTATCGGTGACTTCAGACCCTGCCAGAGTGGGCAGAAAATGTCATTTACGCCTAATTAAGCATAGGGCCTTATCGAAATCGGCGTGTCTGCGATATGAGATTACTATGATGGTATGGAGTGTGGGAAATAAACACATGTGTTTATTGGCGTAAACACACAATCCGGCTGTTTTATGTCGCTCTTGTTCGTGACAATAACTCTTTACAGACGTTAACTGCGGTGTTGCCATCTGTTATCAATATCTCGATCCTTGGTGTCAGTCCATGGTAGTCATAACGCCATCCCGGTTAGATTTATATAGATATATTGTTAAACTATATTACTTTTCAACATATTTATATGATCGCTTACATAAGCATTATCATGTTTGCAATTCTAGGTAATAATTATCGTTATTCCGGTACGATTTATACATGCAACATTTGAATGAAGTTGTTATCGAATAGATATAGGTTTTTAAATGTTTAAAATGTTTAAATTTCGTGACAGATAAGCATTTATTGTTTTAATTATTATTATTGAAACACATGGGTACGTTTTTACGTAATCGAGATTCCACAAATATGCAAGCGACGCACCTAAGATATCATTAACCGATGTGTGTGTGTACGTAATCAAATGTTATAGTGAAACAATGGATGTGATATCGTATATCATAAACAGTTCGATGAGCTTATAATAAAATCATTATGTATATTGACTAAGTCTGAACATAGTCCAGATGTTTCTGAAAACATCCCCAAAGCATCGTTCATGGATCAGAGATCAATTCCTAACGGTTACTGTCATATACACTAACTGACCGGAAGCAATTACAGTACATACATATTAATATAGACCCGGGCTGTGTACCAGGTGTAGTAATTAGTGACCGCCATCAATAAGGCAGATTGTCCATTAGTCATGACACTGGCGTTCAAATCAAACTTTAATGGATGGCGTAATAAAATTTGATCAGGGCAGACACCACAAAACTGAAATATATATGGCATGGCTTCTCTTAGATTAACTGTACCGACTATTCTCTTTGAAAGTATTATGTGCAATATAATCAACATTTTATTGATAATTTCGTTAAATTAAATCAATATATATATCTATATAAAAAAATTCAATGATGAATTTTATATTAAATCGACAAGAAAGAATGTGCCCGATCAACAGGTATTTTTCTGTACGAATAATGGTTCACTTCCTACCCGTTTTAAGCTCGCCAACACATTTACGTTTTATTGCCAAAATAATAAAACCTTCACTTACAATGACTGAACTGCACATAACAAATGAAAACTGTTTACACGTATTAGCGTTGTTCTACTCAAATGGAAAACACCTAAATAAACTGAATAGTTTCAGTGTGTGTAACAAAACATTTTAAAGAAATAAAAATGTACAAACCTAACTTAACCAAACCTAACTTAACCAAACCTAACTTAACCAAACCCTAACTTAACCAAACCTAACTTACATAATGTAACCAAACCTAATTTAACCAAACCTAACTTAACCAAATGTTAAGAAATATATACTTACAGGGAACTGGACTGTAAATATCATATAAACACAGTTCGATGCTCATATTTACCATTTTCGAAGGATTTGAATAAAATAGAAATTAATTTCTGCTACATAAAATTCAAATTAGTGTATTTATTGTGTGTGCTTATTCCATGAATATGACGTCAACACGTGAGCCATGGCATTGCCAGTCTCTTGAATGCCATACGAACACGGTAGGGTTATATGGTGGCAGAATAATTACCACGAATACAACCGGTCAAAGGCTGAAATAATCTCTGTGAAAACAGCCAGTCAAACGCTAACATGGACTAACCATCGTGAATACAACCTGTCAACAGTTGATGCGGATGCTGCAGCTGTCAAACGAATGCAGCTATATATATGATATAAAACAAGAAAAAATCCACAATACTTAATTTAAAAAATCTTTTCAATTAAACACGGAATGATATTTAAGTGCGTAGTTGCATGTTTAAGATTGTACCGTAAAGCAAGAAATAGATAAAGGCATAGATCTAAC